CCTCCCCACTCCATCTCTGTCAGTCTGTCAGTGACTGCCACTGGCTGCTAGTTGTGTAGCAGCTGCAGAGCCAGGACAAGGTATGACAGTGTCTGCTTCAACTAAGTCCCGCTGAAGACTGTTAGGGAGTGATATAGTCCAGCTGCTGTGGGACAGGGAAGCCATTTCACCTCATCCTTTTAGGGTGGATGAAGGAATGGGGGCGGGTATGGCAACCCACACTTCTATTTTGTCTTGGTACTAGGGTGCCTCTGGTAGAAAAGATGCTTACTTTGTTGGCCGCAACTCTGAAACAGCAGCAAGACTTTTTGCAAGGCCCCATGACAGGGCTCAGAGAGGAAACAGCTGACAAAAATTCCTTTGGATTACATGCGGAAGTGCTGACATGCTATGAGCAATCTAGGCTATTGATAACACCGCCAATTAACAATTGGGTCTATATTCTGAGTAACAACAGCTCCCTTTCAGAGCTTTATTAAAACTTCCTTTCTAGGTAAATAACTTTCTCCTGATCAAAGTTTCTGGAATATTAGCAGATGTACAATGAAAGACATAGTTTACTTCCACTTGAACTGGAGCCATGGCATACTCTACTAGGAAACCATCATCTTGTTGAGTGTGTACAAACCCGCCATACTCTGTGCAAATTCTTTATTGAAACAATGATCAATTTACAAGCTGGATCACATTTCATTTTGCCACTTCAGCATGAACTGGTCTCTGTGGTCTACGGCCGTGAACTATAAAATCATAACAGTTATTTAAATCAAAATACAGTAACTGCTTCTCAAAAGAACACATTCATATTTGTCTTACATTTCTTGTAAAATCAAAGAGGATTTAATAATAAATGAAATATAACTTAAGATACTTTAGTGCAAGCATTTCCTTTGCATCTAAGAAGCTTTCAGTTGTCCCACTAAGTATGGCATACTTAGGAGGCCAACTCCTAAAATAGCATGCTGCCAAGAAATTCCAGGAGAACTTTTAAAATTCGACACTGTTAGCACTTTCCAGAATTAGTTGATCTGAACCAAATTGATCGTCAGAAAGCCCTGGTTGTATGTTACAGTACTTCTGTCAAAAAGTAACTGCAAATTGAGGAACTGACATAGTATGTACATTAGAATAAAACAGGCACTGACTTAAAAAAATCAACATCTGCCCGTACATGCCATTCTGCAAGTCTTACGATTATACAGTAATTTTTAAGCACCGGAGTGAACTGCTATGCCTCACCTAATACCAATAAACCTGCATAAAAATGCTGATCTATGGATTCTTTTAAATTTTTCAGATGACAATCTCAAAAAATGACTGAAGGGTAGGTTTCATCACAAGCATACTCAAATCAGAGAACAAAAAAGGATCAGCAGTAAACAAATGCTGCTCAAAAAGAAAATGTTGAGTAAGTAGATAGTGAGTACTATGTTCAAGTGGTCTGATTAATATGGTCTTACATTTAGTGCAAAAAGAATAGTAAGTGTAAAATTCAAATCCAGCACTGACTTCTTGTGCTGCAGAAATCTAGTCACGTTTCATGAAGTTTTGGCAAAAATATTTTAAAATAGTGTAAATTTATCCTGCAAATCTCTTTTCCTTTCTAAGCCTGGCTTGGTGTTCCTTATGCTTTTAGAATGCAAATTCAGTTGGACCGGCTTTTCCAGATTCTGAGTGTTTTAAGAACCATTAGTGTTTGCTGATATAATAAATAGAACAATGTAACAAAAGGTGTGCATAGTCCAATGATGGGAACGGATAACTCTAATGTCCCTGAAGTGCTTAAGGTACATGAAAATACATAACAATGCAAAAGTTAATGTTTCCTTAGAGCCATCATTAATTTTATGTTTGCTAATTGTGTTCTCACACCATAAAATAGCCATTCCCTAAGAAATATGGCAAGACAGAATTGTTTACTTTATAATGGCACAGCCAGAAAATTTGGAACAGGAAAGATGGATTTGGATCTTGCTTCCCATTTATCTCCCACACAGGAAGTGCCTAAAAGCATTTAAAAAGCTATATGCTTACAGGTGTTATATAATGCATGCGTAAGGATACTGAGCAGCATACATGAAAACAGAAAAAATACATAAACCAGAACCATTACAATCTATATTTTCTTCAGATGCAGTGCTGCTCTGTTTTTATTCTGATAATATCACAAAGCTGTATGTCCAAAGTCTTTATAGCAGACTGGCTGGCCACTCCTATCTGTGAACTCTCAGCTCTGAGTGAGTCCAGCTCCAGCAAAGTCAAGGTTCCCTTTGACCTTGCGACATCAGGAATTCAGCATTGCACCTATTATGTGCATCTAATCCACCAAATAACTGTTGCTCTTACATGGTTTGCAATGTATACTTGTGTGTACTTCAAATACATGCTCTTTGTGGACAACCTCTGCAAAAAACCACAATCTGTATCTTCAAGGAAGTTTACACAAAGATACTGAAGAAAACCATGAAGATTGTTTGCTCTCAAATGTTTCTTATAAATAAATAATAGAACAGGCTGGAGGACAGCCTGAGGGCAGCAGTCAGGACCAGAACTGCCTGGTACCAATCACCATGTGAATACATGAAGGGGTCTGGTCTCTACTATAAAAAGTTCATAATTAAAAAACAATTAAAATTAAAATACTGTATTTTAATAAATAATTTTGAAACATGAAATCTTGTTATTGTTAAATAATATAAAAGTTATTTTTATGCTTTCAAGGAGAACATCCTTGCTCGTCTGTGCAATCTTAGTTGGGCACCAGGCAGGTAACTTCAGAATACATGAGCATTGTTTGTAAATGTTGAACAGGCAGAAAAATCAAGATGCCTCTTTTCAGGAGGTTAAGGTGAATTAAAAGAATTTAGTGCAAGTTCCTGCTTTTGTTTCTGCCCTCGTCCTTTTTCATACCAGAAGCAAATTAAGTGACTTGAAAAATTGATGTGAACGCTAAACAGAAATGTACTTTGGACTCAGACAAGAAGTTAACAGTTTGCATCAGTAGTATTTTCAATCACACTAGTCAGAAGTGAGGTTCTTTGTGGTATTCTCTTAATCTACCCTGTGTTCTAGATTTATATTGCTTCACTGGAACTAAAATATTTCCAGCCACATTCCTAAAGGGACTTTGCCCTTGCATGTTTCCTTTTGGGCATGTGCAAATGCATTTTGTATAGATGCCTGCCACTGTGGTGAGCACAAACAAACGTTAGGCAACTAAATGCTGTCATTTTCTCAAGTTGGTCACAAAATCTGAAGTCTGTTATTAAACATGTATTTTTTTTAATAACCATAGAAAGGTAAATATGGAGCCTTCTCTGCATCACTGCGTAAGTCACGGGGTGTTCCTGTATTACACTGCTAGTGAAGCTCTGCACTTTAACATGAGGAAGTTGACATAAAATCTCAGTTCATTATCAAGGGTTTTTTTAGATAGCTGCAACATTGACTTTGTTTGGTCTCAATTACCCGTGCAGTTAACATACCTGATTGCCTCCAATGGACACTTTATGTAGATGTGGCTACTTCAATAAAATGTCCAGAGAGCCATCCATGCATCATCTCTCCATAGACCTAAGTGACTTCTTTTTCTGCAATATACTTGATTCTAGATGTATTTTGAGTATCTATACTTACACCACAGTCCTTCTTAAAAACTATAAGGTGATAGTTTGTTCATTAGTTCCAAATTAAATGTGTATCAGGTAATTAATATGCTACCAATCCTACACAAAGTCCTCCTTGTAAGTGCTTTCTTTCCAGACTCACTCTGGAGAAGGTCCTTTTTATTGTCTGTCTGCAACAGAAATTATCACTTCCCTTCCACTCCTGGCATTTCCTTGCATAAATGTTGATCCTTTTCAATGCCACAATCACTGTGATCATTAAAGCTTTACTAGGGTAGAGTCACATGTACTCAAGCAGTGAACATCCTACATAGGTAGGAGGTTCTTAAAATACCAAAGCAATTATAACACAGTAAACAGTTTGTGTGATCGTCATTGTAATTTCACAGGACGCTTGATTATATTTTTTTTTTAGTTTGGATAAAACACTCTCAAAATTATGCTTACAGATGAATTTAGGCTTGATTTTCAGAATATGAATCTGCACAAAATTGAGAATCCCAATAAAAGGGTCTTCTGCCATTTCAGCCTTGTCATGAGCTAATTACTGTTGTTTGCAGGACTGTTAAGGAACCTGCATATCTTCTGGTAAGGTAGTGCATACTTACTCCTACCAGATTACTACAAAACAAGACATCTTGCATATTTGCAGCTGTTTTCCATATAAACTTCTGGCAAAGTAAAAAATGGTCAAATATATGCAAAAAAAACCTGCCGAGCTGTTATGACTGCAACTTTCTGTAAGATGTTTATGGGCTTTCCCATCTGTAAAATACACCTCAAAGTTGTTTCTCGATGTGAAAAAAACGATTGTTGGCATCTTCATTTCACGGAAAAGGGGAAACTATTTCCCTTGTGCCTAAGCAGTGTGGTCTCAAATGAAATGGAAACATTTTAACTTTCTGTAATAGCCCTCTAAATAACAATGCAGCTGAGCAAACAGGCTTTGTAAATGGGATCTATTAGGATTTTATTTGGCTACTGGAGTGCTGCCTCTTGGGCAATATTTCAAATTCACAAGATAATATTTGCAAAAATGCAATAGATGGAAATAACGAGCATGAAGGAGGAAAATGAAAACTAGTTTTATGTTTAGTAAGTTAGAGTGTCCTACATCAAAGACTAGCAATGAATTCCAGGAGGCCACTACAGGTGGCTCCAACCTAGAAAATGCTGAGGTAAATGTTTCTTGGAAATACTCCTAATCGAAAAGAGCAATTAATATTAATGTAATAGCAATTACTCTGCCAGACATCATGGTAAACTAAAGTCAAACTGAGAAGAAAGTGCCAAATAATCCACATACATGCTTTTGCTATGATAGTCTCCAGGTAAGGCTTAGCGGCAAGTACAATATGTATTTTTAAAAGAGCTCCACCTGATTTTCCTGCTATGCATAGATTCAGGAGTAACTATCATACATGGCTTTCATATATAACGCATGTATTTTTGTCATTTGCCAATGCTGTGTCATCAGAACTGAGTTCAGCAGAAGGCTCAGGAGGGGGCTCTGCAGGAAGTGCTGGTGTTTGAGGAGTGTCTTCTTCCTTGGTGTCCAACTGCACGCTTTCTTGCGACTGACCATCCATGCAGTCCTTTTTGGACAACGGGTGAACTGACACTTTTATTGCAATCTGTTGAGGTGGTTCATGCAGTGACGATGCGTCAGAGTCCGCTGTGGGAGAGTCACTGCGCTTCAAAGCATTCGGGATCATATACAGCTCATCTGTTTCAGTGGTTTCCTGGCCTTCTGCTGTCTGCCGTACAAAATTCTGTCCTTGCTCCTCCAGACCGACAACCTCCATAATTTCTTCCATTATAGTCCTGCAGTTCATGATGAGAGGTGGCAAAGGTACACTCCGAGCAAGCTCTTCAATATAGCGAGCAAATTCCATGGTTTTGAACTGCGTTACTTTGGCAAGCTCGAGCGTTTTGGCTGAAGTGATAATTGGGATACGCTTCGCAATCTCAAAGGCTTTCTGGAGTTTCTCTGCCCCTTCTGTTCTGAAGAATTCATTGATTGCTTTCTCTGTTTTCTTCAGATGACTGCTCATCATACATAACCGAGTAATGTTCAGTATCATAACAATGGTAAAAGCTACAAGGCAGACAATCATGTAATAGATTCCCATATCTCCGGAGGTAAAAACAACCCTCAGTGTCACAGTGTTGTTAACACTGCCATACATATTAGATGCGACACACGTGTATTTCCCTCTGTCTTCAAAAGACACGCTGGTAATGTTTAGTAGCCCATTGTCAAGAAACCACCATTTTCCTGCTGGAGAGGAGACAGAGTAACTTAATTAGAAGTATTTTGTTCACATGATCAATATAGTCTTAAACATCAGCTTTGTCAAACTGGCTTCAGATTTTGGAAGAAGGAAATAATGTTCACAAGAAGACAAAGTATTTACCATCACAAAGGTCTATCTGTCCCTGAGACCCTAGCTGTGTTATTATCAAATCCCTGACATCAACTGTGAATAATCAGATCATGCCCTAAAAGTCTCATTAAAAAATTAGTTAATATGCATGACACCTATCACAATCTTAGGGTCAGTTAAGTTACAAAGATACAACTACTTACCCCAGAGAGTGTCCCAAACACATGCCACACTTCCTCAAAGAACAGTAACAATGGGATTGTGAGGCAGAAAAACCTACTAAGCCCTCCTTGTTTTGTTCCCCAACAATGCATTTTCTTAAAATTGGGTTATTTTTGGTGTTTTGTTACAGTATCTCATATAATTCTGTTAATGTAAACTTTTAAAAAAGTAAAATTTCAGACATCATATACTACATTGCCTGCCCTCTGAGGTGTTCAGAATTTAATTTTGAATTATGATTTAAAAAAAGGGAAATAGGACAGGAGGAGTAAGATGGGTGGGAAAGAGAAAAGCCATGACCAACTAAGAGAATATCTTGTTTGCCGGTGCGAACTTCTACACACAACGGTGGACCTTCTTTTACTTTTACATTTCTATCAGTGTAATATAATTGATATCTTTGGTCACTATGTGTAATTGTACATGTACATTTCACATCCTTTGAACCTGACACAGCAGAACCATTTAGCTATTAAACTGAGTTTGAAACAACATGTTAAAATCCAGTGCTCCTATCACTGCTAAAGTGATTCAAGATTCAGCTAGTTACTGTGTTTGCCATTATATATTGATAATGAATAGGATTTTTAGTTCCCCAAGTGAGCTTCATTTTTATTCAAATATCACTACCATTGAAGAGCTGAGGATGTGTATTTTTCTCCTTATTTGGTGTGATACAACTTACTAAATTGTAACTCTGCTATAAAAACCATGATTCAACTCCAACAGGAAAGCCTGGTATCAATTCTTTCCTTCAGGTAAACCCACCCCTGGAAGTGTTCACATAGTGGAGCGAACAGCCAGAAAGTGTAGGAGTCCCTCTGTGCCTTCTGAACACTTCATACAGGGAGATATCATACAGAAGATTTCCTTGTAACACAGTGACAGAGGCTGATGTCAGCCAACAAGATCATCTAATACATACTGCTGCTCAGAGGCAGACTCAACTGTTTTCAATCTCTGTAATGCAATCCCAAGCCATTCCTGACAGGTATCTCTTGAAGGCAGTAACAGAATTTCGATAACCTTCCACAGCAAGGAATTTCAGGCGTTTACCTATTTTTACTATCAGAAAGTTGTTTTTTCTTAAACCTAACCTAACCAGCTGCAATTTAAGTCTATTAAGGCAGCTGAACAAAGACACAGAATCTGTGATTAGAGGACTAAACTTGCACAAAACCCCTGTGCAATGCATGTAAATCACAAAGCAAGGATTGCAGTCCTGCCACAGATCGGTATATACCTTGCTTCTACATTTATTTTATCCTTTGCATGGAAGTTCTTTTGTTGTTAAAAAGATTATTCTCTTTTTTTACTTTATTTCTTTCAAGGAAGAATCTGTGAGCAATTCTGAAACTCATTAGTCAAAAAAAGCCTTTAATTCAGAGTAGTTATGGGCTTTTACCATTTTGGAAGTTTTTCTAATTAAACATGGCTTATCCAAATCGTTTTTTTACATTATCTCCAGAAGAAGCCTATGTAGAAAGTATTCCCACAAGATTCCTGCCTCAGTTCCTGTATGGACACTTCTTAATTACATCTTTTTATCCTCTTACTTAGAATTTTGAACTTAACTGAAACACTCTTTTTTGCTCTAGCTTAATTCTTGAAAACAGCTGAATCACTTTGCCTGAAATAAAAAAATATAGAATAAATAAACAGCTCAGTCTAAAGCAGACCTGCACATAAAAAAATTACCCCAATCTACTAAAGTTAGGCAAATTCAGAGGAATACTCCGTTACAGAGGAAATGTCAGCATCTGTAACAGATGACACTTCTTTCTCCACCTCTAGAATATGAAAAAATAAGAGTATTGGCTGCTCAGTATTTCTTTGAATTGCAATGTTGGCAAAGTAGGTCTTTATTAATTGTAAAATGACAAGACGCCTTGCTGATATATCCTGGCTCCAGCTGTTATAAATGACATAATGGCATTGAACTGTGACTCAATGACTGGGTCTGTGCCAGTGGATCCTGGCAGATAGTATAAGCCTAATGAGAAAATGATTAGAAAAGGTATCATTGCTGGGTTTTGGTAACAGTTCAGTGCCATACTCAACATAACTATATACATAATAAAGAAAGGTCTTGTGCTAGGAAACATTTCTTACGGGAAGACAGCCAGTTTCTTAAAGGAGGAAGTGCACTGTTGAAAGTCTAAGTTAAAGTGATGTTGTCATAATACTACATCTGCAATTTTTACTGACTTGGTTGAAGTTTTTGCTCACCTACTTGAATGTTTGTGTTAGTAGCTACCTCTCTCAGTTGACTGTACAAAGACCTAAAGTTAGATGCCTAACTAAAGGGGAAAATTTCTGTTAGTGAGCCCTAGTAAAACACTTTAGCGCACTAATCACAGTACGTTGCCGTGACAGCACAAATTATATCTGAAAGTCCGCTTACTAGCTCAAGTAGTTCCTTTCTCTAGCTTTACTTAGAAAATGATAAAATACTGTAATGTCAAACATAACCAGTTATGCAGTATGCTTTGACAGATACGCTATGCTGTTGCACATCCAGCTGGGTCAATCATTACTCCCGTCATAGCAGAGTTCTCCCTCAGGTCAGCTGTTAGTTAGGCAAGCTATCTTGCCTTTAGTATGAATAACTAAGAGTTTATTTCATCATGCTGTGAACAAAGCAGTCAGTATGGAAGGATTACATGAGCAAAACACCTTCCATCCCTCCCAAAACATTCCCTAGAAGTGTAACTAGGATTATCACTCAAACCTTCCATTTAAGGAAAACAAGCTCATGAGTAATTAAGGTCTCTGGCAAATGCAACTGAAGAGTCTTAACTAAAGCCAGGAAGGCTCAAACTTGGCTTGTCCTTCTGACTGCTGTCCTATATAGGTTTTCCTGTTGGTCATTCAGGGCATCTCCCATTTCTCACACTCCCATGGCACTATGCATAAAGACAGGAGGCATATCAGGGAGTTCGCTGTGTTGAATTCATGCCAACAAACTATTCCCATATGTCAAGAGAATCCTCCTTTAAGTTGGAAAATAGCTTTTTAGTCTTATTTGGTGCCAGAGAAGAACAAAATAGAACAGAATGGGAAATAGAATCAAACCGGAAATCTTCCAATGAAAAGAAGCTTGTCTACACCTTCTGTTAAGTGCTTCAGCTTCTTGCTATGTGTTGCTATAAATAACACATTATAAAAACGTTATTGTTTTCTTCCAAGATAGGCACAACAAATTTATGACTGCCACTGGGCTTTCATATATTTTCACACAGGAAAACACCACAGTCAGGCCATTAAAATCAGGTTATTGGTCAACCTGCTGAAATCAGAAGTGTCTCTGGACAGGCTATATCAGTGAGAATACTAAGATCTTACCTTTATTCTCCTCCTCTTGGAGCAGACGGCCGTTGGAATTGTACCATCTGTAATGTGGACTAGGGCTACCTTGGACATTGCAGTCGATCAAGGCACTACTCCCCTCCTTGACAATAATATGGTCGATGCGGGAGATCACCACAGGCACAGATCCTGTGTTCATGTCAGTGCGGTTGAAAGTGCTATTAGTCACATCCTCAGCAGTCGTCAAAGCTGCTAATAAGATGACAAGGTGTGTGGTAGGCAGAAAGTACAAAAAGTGGTGGCTGTTCAGTATGTTCATTTTTCTTCAGTGGTATACGCAACTGGCTGGGAACTGGGATCGGTTCTGTTGAACGCAGGCCCTTGAGGTGAGGGGGTCACAGGAGAGTTCTACTTTGATCCGTGCAATTTTATGTTTAAAATATCCTATACAATACATAAATAAGTACAATGAGATGGCATGTATAAACAAGCCATTAGATGTGCTCTTTTAAAATAGTGACACATCCATTAATGCATTTCACAATCATCAGCTCAGTGTCTTGTCTAAATGCTAATGTTATCACAGTCCTTATTCTTACTGGAAAAAGATGCATACATTTTCCTGACAATAGTGTTGTTCAGAGTGGCAGGCGTGGGAGAAGGCTTTTATCACGTAGACACTTAGCGGCAATTTAGCTACAGCCCTAGTTACAGTTTTATGCCAAAAGTTCTACAGATTTTTCTTTTTCTTTTTTTTTTTTTTTTTAACAATTGCAAAATCAACAGGAAAAACAAAGGTACAGCACGTTAAAGCTGTCACTACCAGTTCAGTGCTGCAACTCTGTCACGTGCATGGAATTGTTGAACATGGTGTAAGAAAGAACTGTTCCAAGAAAGGTTTTTGGAGCTGATGTTGGAATCCTTAATATACACAATTTTGTCCAAATACAATAGCACATACAGCAAAACATCTCAGACCATTCACTTTTCTTAAGCTACTGCATTTTTTAAAGTTTTCTGAAATAAAACACAGCATGGAAAAATATCCTTAAAAGAGGATATTTAGTAGTTGATCAAGTCATTTCAATGTCATTTTTAGAGCAGATTTAGAAAGAAAAATACTTGTTAGTGACATAATTATGGGTACGGTTTCTTTGAGATACAAATGAATTTGGGACTTTTCCATTCCTTATGTGGCATTAAGCATTTTGCCTGTATACTTTTTGCACACTCTCACTAGAATATTTTCCCTCAACTAATCATCTACAACGAGCCCTCTCTTAAACAGTGATTTCAGTTTGTAGACAGAGGAGGGAGGGGGGTTTACAAATGTGCTCTCTATTGGCCTCATTATGCTCCCAGTGAACACAACTGGCATTCAGTACTGACTGAGGGCACAATGTTGGCCTCAAAATGAGCACCTTTGAAAATTTCACTCTAAGAGTGAAAGGGCCGCAAATGATGTTAAAATTACATCAGAGTATCTAACTACATTGGTTTTATTCATGTTTTTGCAAGGTAAATAATTGAAACTTAGTGAAACTTATTAGTTAGAGGAATCTACCTGGAATCCAAATATAGGTAACGGTAAGTATTTAACAAACTTTCCCCAAATGAACATTTTACTTGCAAAACTGTTTACATTTCATTAAAAATCTTTTTGACACTATGGTAACTCATCTACCTTAGCATGGAAAATGACTGCTGACAAGGTTAGGTCAGTTCCATATAAAAAGGAAACGCTAAAATCAATCAAACAAACAAACAAACAATCCCCCTTCCCTCTTTTCTTCTTTATTCAAAAAAGAAAGAAAACATTACTGTCTTTCACTGGTAATATTTGACTTAGGTTGTTTTCTTCTCCATCCCCTGTTCTCTGTAAGGCAATGAACTTGATTTCATACAAATAGATAAAACTGTTATTAAAAGAGCAAAATAGCTTCCTCCATTTTGTAGGATGAATCATTACTAGAAATAACAAACAAAAATTTTTTTAGATAAACTGCATGTATGGCATGGATGCCTGTCACAACTCCAAGCCTGCCCTCATTTTTCTCTATTTTTCTCATTATTGAATGTGGAAATATTTGTCTTGAACAGCCAGAATAATTTTTAACTTTAAATTAATATGCAAATCTCATTTGTCATATTAAGCTATATAAACAATGACTTCAGAAATCCATTTCCAATTATGCAAAGCGTGTAGAGCCTGCACTTTTGAAGTTCTCTATAAGTAGAGCCTGTCTGAATCTGCACTGTGGAAAAAATCCTTCAATTCTGCCTATTCACTTCAGTAACTATTTACATCTCCTTTCTACTACTCCATTAACCTTGGAGACAGCCATTCTTTATGGTTACACATATTCACTCTGTAAAATATTTCTGTACAGTGTAATATATCTGCACTGCACCATACAGAAAAGCCAAAAGACACGTCGCACTTCCTGGCAAGGGAGCAGGAACAAAGACTGGCTGGATTAAGACAATGGGAAGGGCAAAAGAACAATATAAATTGATTAAGCTTTGTATTGCTAATTACTGGCTGTGGCTTGTTATTATTGTATTTGAGCCTACCATATTTTTTGATGGCAGAAAAATCAGTAGCAATCAAAAAAGGTGTTTAGCATGGAGAGCAGTTTGTATTCCAGAAGGAAATGAAACAGCATCGCCCCAACAGGTGAAGAGAAAATCTGTAAGGAAGGACTTGCAGTGTATTGGGAAGCTCAAGGCAGTTGGTGGCCCACTGAATCCCTACAGCACAGGGATGATGCTGTGGATGGATGTTTGGAACGTATGTGATGGCAGTAACAATGTAAGGCATGCCTATTCTGTACATTTACCTGTGTTTAACGCAGGGCAAAACATGAAAGCAAAACCCATACCTTTATTTAGCAATAACAAATGTGACTGGTTCTTAACATGGTCAAAGGGCCAATTACTTGTCTCAAAATAACAATGACTCCCTCACTCTGGCATAGCATTGAATCATAAATAGCTGCAGTAAATTTTAAGAAATAGAGCCAAATAATTTATGTCTACTGTGGGAGATTCACACCTACTCATGTCACTCCTGCGAATGTACTTTTACTTTCCCATGTATGTTTCTGAAATGAAGAATATTAAGAAAACACTAAATACCTCTGCAGATGCATTTGTTTGAAATAAATACAGTTTGATGGCTAGTATGAGAAATAACCAGGTAGTAGGTTTAAACAGAATGTTTGGAAATGGTGGCTGCTGCTTTCACATGCCATCCAGGGAAGTGCTCTTGATGGACACTTGAGTATGTTCAAGGAGTCAGAGAGAGATCTCTCTGAAGGGCAGTGTTTTAAGATGCAGGTTTAGACAAATGGTCCCAGGGCAACTAGGAAATGATAGGGAATCTTTTCTGTGGTGTGCATCCTATGCACTTGTTAGTAGGGAACAAAAAAATGGAAGAAACCACAAGGAAGGTTTTCTCAGCCTCACCTAGCACAAGAAAGTTAAAGGGTGACCATGCAGGGAATATATCCAGGACCCTTTGTTAACCTGTTGGGCAGGACCAAAAATGCTAGAGTCAGGTTAGGATAGCAGGAAGAAGCAGAGAGAGAGAACTGAAAGGGTAGAAAATGTGCTCACAGCAGACTCCGGCGCAAAGGCAGATTTCCTGAGAGTTTCTGTCCTACTGCTTTGCCGTAGGCACAACAGCAGCCTGAAGATACCAGGGAAAAAAAATCTGGGAGCCAGCTGCTTTGTTAAACATAAGTGATGTAATGCGTTATGATTCAATCACACAACTAAATGGGGAGAAATCTACAGAGGCTGAAATAGGACTGCTAGTGATGTCTGCCCACTTCTTTTGCAAAGAAGCAAGAGAATCCAGAATATCAAGAGAGGTGGGCACAGTGTTGTCACCCTGGATCTTGGCCATGAGAGGCGGTAATTAGCTGTGGCCCATGATAAACCTGATGAAGGCAGCCAAAATTGTAACTTTTTAATCTGACCCAAAGTCAGAGAAAGCTGGATTGACTAGACTAAAACAAAGATTCCTGTAATAACTCAAGACTGAGAGTAACACAGGACAGTAATGAAGGAGGACCTGCAATACTGAGTATTGCTCTATGGGAACAGACTGAGTTTCTGGGAGCATTTTTGCCACAAAAGGGTCACTATAAACAAAAAGTTAAATTTCTGGTCATGGAAAGAATGTAGGTGTTCCTTTCTCCCATTCCCAAAGCATATGAGCTACCTGTAAAAGACTTATAAAAAGCAAAAGTTTGTAATATGTTTAATGTGGTTAAATACACTTTTTTTCCTTTTTTTTTTTAATGTTAAAACTGTGGTGCACGAAAAGGAAAAAGAACACCCTCAGCAATTTTGAGCTACCAGGGACAGGCTTACCTCCCAAGATGGAATCAGAGGAATCCCCAAACTCTCCTCCAGCACCTAGAACATATATATAGATAACTTATCCTGACATATTGTATCTCTAGCAACATTTACTGAAAGATGATTGCCAGTGGTCCTCACATTAAATAGTTTTGGTTTTTTCCTTCCCCAACCCAAATGGTATAAACTGAAAATCTGAAAGGAACAAATTTACTGCTTGCGGGATTAACTTCCAAGGAAAATTGCATGAGACTTGAGCCACATGAGGGAACTATGACAGGCTTTTCTTCTAAGTGACACAATAGCCAGCTCTAGCGTGCTCTCTATGCATTTCTATCCAGAGAAGTTCCCTGGAATGTGCACCAGAACAAGCACAGCTGCAGGGTGGTGGTATTACTCCTAACTATGTGAAACAGGGACAAAAACTGAGGTTAAAACTTCTCTGTCCAAAATCAAGCATCAGTCTAAACAGAAGACACTTACAGCTTAGACTGGCTGGGAACATTAATCATTCAGAGACATGTTCTGATTGACCATTTATTTTTTCATGTCACACATGAGTTTGCTCCCCAGTATCACTGCCACCAAAGAAAATGACTGTGGTTGAGGAGCCACGTTTTAAGTACTGCATTTGTGCAGAACAACACGATGACAGAGCACAAAAGAATGGAAAAGGAGGGCAGTGATGCATACCTTTTCCTGGCTTGCTCACTTCTGTAAAACTGTCCTGTTCTTGTTCTTGGAATAATGTGTAGTCCTATTAACAGGTTATTCAATTCCAAAGTGAAGCACAAGAAGCCAGCCTATTGTATAATGCATAAATTATGTTCCTATAGCTTTAACATCCCAATGCTATCTTGCTTGGCTTGTAAGTGATCACGAAAATGAAATTATTGTCATTCTAGTTCTCATTCGTCTATAAATAAGTATCAAGGATGATGCTACAAAACA